CATTACAACCCATTCACTTGATATGAGAGGTGGCCTCGCTGAGTGATCCTCGCCTGGGTCTGTTGGCAGCATCATGATACAGCCTCAGTATGCAGCTAGTAGCGCAGTCCCTCTCATCTCCTCTTACAATTGTTTGGTATGACGGAAATTTCTCACAGGATAATGTTTATTTTACGTTTGCTCCTTTCAATGGTCGAACTATGGTTTTAGTTTCCACTTATGTGTTTGTGACCGTGTGTTTTTAGACGAGTTAGATTATAGAGAAAAATGTGACGGAAAGGAGGCTTGTGGCAGGGTTGGTGTGAGGAGGTAAAGCGGAAGCTGGCAAGTCAGATGAACGAGTGAGGCATCAGTCCATGTCTGCCCCATCAAAACACCGCCCCGCACCACGCCACAACACCCGCTTCGCGCACCATCAACACCACGCCACTGGCACAACACCCGCTTCACACACCATCAACACCACGCCACTGACACAACACCCGCTTCACACACCATCAACACCACGCCATTGACACAACTTCACACACCATCAACACCACGCCACTGACCACACCCGCTTCACGCACCATCAACACCACGCCATTGACACAACACCGCTACACACCATCAACACCACGCCACTGACACAACACCCGCTTCACACACAATCAACACCACGCCTCTGACACAACACCACACCATCAACACCACGCCACTGACACAACACCCGCTTCACACACCATCAACACCACGCCACTGACACAACACCCGCTTCACACACCATCAACACCACGCCACTGACACAACACACACCATCAACACCGCCACTGACACAACACCACTTCACGCACCATCAACACCACGCCATTGACACAACACCCGCTTCACACACCATCAACACCCGCCACTGACACAACACCCGCTTCACACACAATCAACACCACGCCTCTGACACCCGCCACACCATCAACACCACGCCACGACACAACACCCGCTTCACACACCATCACCACGCCACTGACACAACACCCGCTTCACACACATCAACACCACGCCACTGACACAACACCCACTTCACACAGCTTCAGCACCACGCCACTGACACAACACCCGCTTCACACAGCATCAACACCACGCCACTGACACAAACCCGCTTCACACACCATCAACACCACGCCACAACACCCGCTTCACGCACCATGAACACCACGCCACAACACCCGCTTCACGCACCATCAACACCACGCCACTGACACAACACCCGCTTCACGCACCATCAACACCACGCCACTGACACACCATCTTCAACCACAAACTTTCAACAACCAGAAAAATATCAACAGGACAAAATAAATATAATCATAAATAAAGACTTTAATGGACACTCAACACCATTACCTTGCTGAGCACTTGACACACCTGTGACCTGAGAGAATAACAAGAGACGGACGCAGATGATGACCCACCAGCAAGGCCCCGATGGTTAACTGAATGTACAGGGCTGGTACACCCCCGTTACACCCCTAGACAACCCCAGGTGTACTAAGAGTTGAGTTTACAGGGCAGGTATACCCTCGCTACACCCCAAGAGAACCCCAGGTGTACTAGTAGTTGAGTTTACAGGGCAGATATACCCTCGCTACACCCCAAGACAACCCCAGGTGTACTAGTAGTTGAGTTTACAGGGCAGGTATACCCTCGCTACACCCCAAGACAACCCCAGGTGTACTAGTAGTTGAGTTTACAGGGCAGGTATACCCTCGCTACACCCCAAGACAACCCCAGGTGTACTAGTAGTTGAGTTTACAGGGCAGGTATACCCTCGCTACACCCCAAGACAACCCCAGGTGTACTAGTAGTTGAGTTTACAGGGCAGGTATACCCTCGCTACACCCCAAGACAACCCTAGTTTTACTAGTAGTTGTTTACAGGGCAGGTATACCCTCGCTACACCCCTAGACAACCCTAGGTGTACTAGTAGTTGAGTTTACAGGGCAGGTACACATCCTCGTTATAACCAGATTACCGCCCATGGAAGAGGAGAGGGGCAGCCTGCTGCTCGCCAGGTCAACTCCAGGTGGAGAACAAAGTCGCCCACTACACAACTCCTGATTACCCTGTGGGGGTGGTGGAGAACTGGGAGGGCGAGGCCACTGGGTCTTCAGTGAGGCAGGTGGCTAGGCTTGGTCCTACCTGCCGGGTACGACCTCATCAGTATTCCCTTCGAGGCTACACGGACACCATCATGCATGGCTCCCCCAGCCTGCTGCACCTATCACAACACACTGGTCTCCTCTCTCCTCGACGCCACACCATGTAGCTTACACACACTCTCTCTCTCTCTCTCTCTCACGTCAGCTTTTATTAGCGACACATACTAAAAATTTCCTCTCTTGTTCTCAACATGTATATATACACCCAGGATATGTACAATTTATTTAACACAAAGAACATACAACTTTAAAACTACAACTATAGTTTCAAGCTGTAACTGACCAGGAAGGTAAGTGTTCACTCTATTCACTGTGGCATGGCGACCATCTTTCCCCTTACACACCCACGAGGGAGGCACGTAACCACAAAATAAATATTAAGCAGCATCACTCGTATCCAAATTTTACAGCGAGAGGACCGAAGCGAAGCGTTGTTGTACACCCTCCCCCCTCCACCATTCTGTCGAAAGGTGCCGCGCGAAGCTCTAAGGAGATACTCTGTGGTTACTCCGTCTGTTTGTCACGGATGTTGGTTGTCCGGGCGATATCTCAGGTACTTTTAGAGGTAGAAAGCTGAAATTTCGATAATACCGAAAAAGGGTATTTTTTTTCTTCCTCCTATTATAGTTTTTGACTCGTGTTGTGCAAATTTAGTTCAAGGCATGACATAGGGGGGGGGGGGTTGGGGGGGTTAACACAGCACGTACCACTACTTATCTAGATCTTGTTTGGAGACGTAGACCTACAGCATAGAACAAACAACACAGGAGGCACAGTAGCTCATTCTGTGCCTCACACACGTCCACCAAGGTATTCCCTGGCCAACGTGCACATTCTCGAATAATACCACTCACTATAACACTAACGGTACCAGAAAGGTAACAAGGCCATACCACCCATCTCGTGGACTAAACACCCAACAATGTAAAGTCGTCACGACCACACGAGGAGGTAACTCTACCACTACAATGAACTACACTGTACCAATACAATAAACTATACTGTATCATTACAATGAACTATACTGTACCACTACAATTAACTACACTGTACCACTACAATAAACTATACTGTACCACTTCAATGAACTATACTGTGCCACTACAATGACTTACACTGCACTACTACAATGACCGACACTGTACCCCTACAATCAACTACACTGTACCATTACAATGACCCACACTGCACTACTACAATGACCTACACTGTACCCCTACAATCAACTACACTGTACCATTACAATGACCCACACTGCACTACTACAATGGCCTACACTGTACCCCTACAATCAACTACACTACCACCTACACTGATGCAACCAAACAACACTGACACAACATAACCACCGAGAGACAGGCTACTGCACCAATAATGTCCCCTTTTTGCACTTTACATTGACAGATTTTAATAATAGATATTCAGTGTTGTGCTTTTATACCAGTGAATTATAAACCGTGACATCAATACAGTATATATCGACGTCTCATGAAAATGTTTCGACAGATGGGCAGAACATTCGGCGAACGGAAATAAAGTCACAGGAAAAAACAGTCACATGACTTTTTTTCTGTGATTTTTTCCCTGGACTCGAATATTCACCGCCAGAGCCCTCGTAGGTGTGACTCCGGGTGTGCTACGGTATTCGAATTTTTAAAGTTCTTGGTTCGTCTCATGGAGTTGTCATTGCTATCTGTTCTATTGACTCTTACACTGTAATCAATTGTCGAGAGAGGTTAAATGCTTAACTATTATGAAGATTGTTTTAAGTAATGGTATAATGATGTTCAGTTTCATGTCATTGTTGAAAAGTTGTCGAAGTATAATGAAAAATGGTGTATGTTAACTAAGACAACTGTTATCTTACATTTTTTTTTATTGCCCCCTCCCCCCTACAGCCTTGTGTAAGGTGAAGCGCAGAAGCGTTTACAGCGTCCAACAGAAAAGCATGCTAAGTTCATGCTTGCCTTATGTCTCATGAGTTAAGGGCGTAGAAGCCTGAAGAGTCAATGGTTTATGTCTAAGCAAGTTATTGGAAGCTCCAACAACTTGTCCCTGAATACGAATTCGCAACTTTCGATTTACAGCAGGTACCTACTTTGCTGCTGTGTGAACAGGGGCCAAGGGGACTAGGAAGAGTGTCCAAACAACTTCCGCCGGCCCGGGAATCGAACCCGTGACATCTTGCTTGCGAGGCAAGAGCGTTACCATTCTTATGTAGACCAAGAACAAAGTGAGTTTACTTGGGGCAATAGTAAGTGTACCAGGGACTACAGTAAGTGTACCTGGGGTAAAAGTAAGTGTACCTGGAACAACAGTAATGGAACACTTTTCTTCACTAATGCTAAAAGTATACGAGTACATTTACTGTCATTAGTGTGTGGCAAGCCGCGAGCTACAACAGGATGACTGACTGACTGGCTGGCGGGTAAACACTTTAACTTAGAGAAAGCATGTGGTTGTAAGACTCCTAACATAAGGGTGTATGTAAATTGGTGAGTGAAACTGTAAGATACTCGCTGGGAAGGACAGCTACCAGACTTATACCTAACCCTTCGAGGGAAAATATGGTATAGTCCTTTGAAGGCGATGGTTTAACTCTTTAACAACTGTGTTTTAACCCTTTAAGGACCGTGGTTTAACCCCTTAAGGACTGTGGTTTAACCATTTAAGGACTGTGGTTTAACCCTTTAAGGACTGTGGTTTAACCCTTTCGTCCTCAGAGGTTTAACTAAACATGTAAGTACACAATGAGTGGGAGGGTAATGAGGGAGGTACAGGTAAAGGCGCCAGTATTGTACTCACCTTCTCGGAGTAGATAGCCAGGGGACTGGTGGGGTTGATGACGACCATGGCGGCGCCGGCGTACGTATGGATGAGGTTGGAGCCGTAACGCTGACGGAGGGTGTGCAGGACGGACGACTCGTTGAGGTAGCGCAGCTGAGCCAGGTCCTCACAACGGTCGAAGGGTGGAGGGTTGGCCTAAAAGATGCGTTCACTCCATATTACTCCATAGCCTCCACCATACTCACCTCCTCCCTAGGTAGTCCCCTCCACTAGTGCGTTTACAGGGGTGGTCATATAAAATTCCACATATCATTACATTGAGATATTTGTTTTAATATTATTTTAATTTGATTCCATAATATGTTTACTACTGCGAGTTTCCTTCTGTCGAATGTAAACAAACACAGCGCTGCCACACTACAGTACACAAAAACTGACAAGCTCTGTAAACGCACGAGTGAAAGGGACTGTACACGCACACATTTAATGCAGGTTTGGTAAAGTATATCTAAGTTTAAAGTAAGAAATACAAAAGACCATTATTTCTTGTATTTTGTACTGTATAACCGAGCTATTGTTTTGGCAGGTGAGATGTACACTACCTCTCGTCAACAAAACTTAATTAATTCTACGTTAGTGATGTTTGTTTACTGTGTATGGATGTACAGTTCTTCTATAGCCTGGTGAAGGAGTAGACAAGACACAGGAGTACTGGGTAGGTAACTGACCTTCTCGACGTCATCCTCGTCCACCTCGATCACGTCGCCGTTGTGTTCGAGCTTGAGTCTGACACGTCCCTCTGGTAGCGCCTCTCCAGAGTCCGTCTCCCTCAGCTGCCTCGCCGCACAGAACCCGCCACGGTGCACTAGCCACACCCGCTCCGCGTCCAGCCATGCTCGAGCTGCTGCCACCTGCTCCTCCGACCGTGCCTGTAAAATCAACATTTCCTCTTACTACTCTGTTCACCACACACAACAACACAAGCAACACGTTCTTATTATAATGACTCGCTTAGGTGTAGGTGAAACAACCTGGCATACCAAACACTCCTACATCAACCAACCTGTGTGTTGTATTATGATGTGATTCGTGTAACAGTGAGTCTACTAGCTGAGTGTTTCTGTGGTGTACCAGAAGTATAACAAGACAAAATATACCCCCTGTAGACTATAGAACTATATCACTGTTACAGTTGTCATAGTCATTTACCGTCATACCATTCTGCTAGCAAACACAAATAACAAAGTAATATAAACTCCTAAACCCGAGTTATTAAAAAAATATGAAGCTGGTTTAAGAAGAGGGAAGATACGGGTATGAATTTAATATATGATTAACATGTATACAGTACATGAAGGGCCGCCGCGCTGCCTTGTCAACAAACCTTAGCATGGAGCGTTACTGTGTATGACAGTAAACAGAACCGAACCTTACCTGAACAGCTTTAGGTAGTTTGGGGTTATACTGGACTGGTCACTTTTCCATTATTAATGAAACAATCGAAATATACAAATACCAGAGAAATCTCAAGAAACAGTTGAATAGTTATTAATAGGGCCCGGATAGTTATGCACTAAAAAACCATGAAATATGCATGCAAATATGCACTAAAAACAGGGGAAATATGCATTTATATGCACTAAAAATGTCACTTATAAAGCCAAGAATGCAGGTTATACGGAAACAAAATAGTTAATATAAACTAATGTTAATGTTTATTAAGCAATATACGTAATGTATTTAACATATATATGTGAAAGTGCTTCAAAAAATATATATGAACATGTATTTACATTATAGACCGACATATTTTCAGACATTACAGATTGTGGTTGCATTTGATGATGACATGGTGGCGTAAGTTCTCAAAGTTAAAACCCCGTCTGTTGTCTGTCAGCATAGCTTTATATTCTGAGAACACCCTTTCTACATCACACGAGACGATTGGTGCATGTTTCATACATAGGAGGTCTGACATAGTGAGTGGCTGTACCGTCTCGTCAATAATAGCATCACCAGACATTATCTGACTGACTTTTTTCAGCTTTTCAAATCCCTTGTTTTTGTACAACACGTTACTCAGTTTACCATAGTAAGCATCAGACTGCAAACTTTTCAGTTCATCAAGAACACCATTAACCAACGAAATTGCCGAGGACAGCAGTAGTCCCCTTTCTTCAAGTCTAGTAATTGTTGATGAGATGCACGCAAAATTCGTTGCAATGAAGAGCAAGCTTTCCTTTATTCCTTCAGTTTCAAGTAAGATCTTGCTTTCCTGAATGCTCTGAGCCTCCTCAGGGTCGAATGTCGCAATAACAGCTTCAATGACGTCGAAGTTTTTCCCATAGTACGTTGCAGCATCTCCAGCAGAAGAAAGTAGCTCCACACAGCAGCACTGCTCCTGACTGACTAACTCACTAGTCCAATGAGTCATGACCAGGTGTGGAAACGACAGATTAAAGCGACGTGACCTCACCTCACTTCACCTAACCACACCTCACCTCACCTCCCAGTACCACGTGTGCTCATTCAGTGGCAACAAAGAGATACTGCCAGATGAATATTTTACCAAAATATGCATTTATATGCAGTTATCTAGGTAATATGCACTTATCATAGAAATCACGCAAAATATGCAAATGCATAACTATCCGGGCCCGAGTTATTAATAAATAAATGTCCGTTTACTCTTCATTTCGATAGTGTCTCAAACCCAAATGAAACACTAGTCACTACACCGCCATAGACAGGGACTCGTTTCAGGAGTTCGGAGTCTCAGGCAAGTACAGTGTACATGGTTTATGTTGGCGACTGTACAAGGCGGGTATTTATTGCAGGAGCCACTGGTTCTGATGATAGAGGAATGCGTGTGCAAGATCAGGTCCCAGCGGTGAGTCCCTGCTTACCCCACCTTGTTCTCTAACAACAACTGACCGACCACCCAACTCCTCGTTTACTTCACAACTGACATAGGTGACAATAGCTTCATTTAATAAGTAAAGCTATAAACAAGAAATATGTTATTTATTCTGCAACTAAAAAAAAAAAAACGAAAAATTTATCGATAATTACATGCCAAGAAATCATCGACCTTGTGAAGATTATTTATTTATTTATTTATTTCTCTATTTATTTATTGAGGGGGTTGCTCTCCATGATCCAGTGTTCTATGTGTGTGGTCTCTTTAACAAACTATCTACCTTGTACTATATTACACTACCACACCCCCTGGCCACTACCACACACCCCCTGGCCACTACCACACACCCCCTGGCCATTACCACACACACCAAGGCCAGTACCACACACCACAGCCACTACCACACACCACAGCCACTACCACACACACCACAGTCACTACCAGACACCACAGTCACTACCACACACACCACAGCCACTACCACACACCACTTCCTTTTTATCGTGCTAGGAAGTGCGTGCCTGAGCCGTGATAATACACCTTTTCACATATCCGTTGAGACATTGTTACATAACTATTTGAGAAATTTCATAACCGAATGACAGAACACATATCGAATGACAATCTAAAATAACTGTTCGTTCATGCTAACAGAAGTGATTGACATAAGTTATGAAGTTGCAAGGAACCTTGTAAATGCAGCCGCCTGCATTGTTGGGCGAGTTCTTAATTAGCATTTGTTTTACAGTACATGAGTTTTTAAATGTCACATCAACGTTCCAGGTTTTCAGTTGTATAGGAATTTGAGAGAAATTTTTGTTAAATGGCAATACTAAGAGATTCTTATTGTCATGGGTGGGCTTAGGATCAATTCTATAAAAAAGATTTCTGAGTAATGTTAAGGCATTTGTCTATAAAAGACCTAGGGTATTTAAGGTTCAAGCCAATACCATGTGAATTCCACGAAAGCGCTTGGGAACTTTGTGTTTTCTTGTGGTAATCAGTTTATATATATATATATATATATATATATATATATATATATATATATATATATATATATATATATATATATATATATATATATATATATATATATATATATATATAGGCACATTTATACATACACGCACACAGCAAGTGTGTGTGTGTGCGCGCGAGGGGGGTAGAGATGCCAGAGGCACCACATACCCGGCAGGTCGCCAACCAGTCAGACCAACACACACACACACACACACCCTTCACCAATACACGTCCAAAACTACATAACTTGGGCCCATTAAGTGCATGTCTCGCTCACCTCTCACACATCCCTGTCTTGTTACCCTCCCCAGCTAAACCTAAACCACCTCAATAAATCTCGCTAAACTTAAACCTCTTCAGTTTAAACCTAACAAAAATTACTCACCTCAAATTAAACCTGGCTAACCCTAAACCAGCACAGTTAAACCTGAATAAACCCACGTCAACATATTAACTCTCTATTTGCACACTTGAAAATTAAACTTAACACACACATGAATATATATATATATATATATATATATAAATATTTGTTTGACTAAACAGGTAATATAAGAGAAACACTACAACAACAACAACAGCCAGTCTGAAGTTTCAGTATGCACCCTGAGACCAATAATCTTCGGTGTGGGCATCAGGGCAGCATCCTTCTCACTGAGTGGTAAGAAGTGGCCCTCCAAATACCACTAACGTAAAGCTGTATGGTGACAATGGCGTCTGTCATCCGCGAGTGTCATGGGGGACGTTATTTTGCTTTTGTTCTTTACCACACAAACAAATGTCTGTGGTTATGATGGATTGGTGGGCGGAGCAGGTGCTGGTTCCCTGTTTGTCAGCATTCAGCAGATAGTGGGTTTACTTAACCCCCTCCCTCCATCCCTCCCTTGACTGGATGCTAGTCCACCTACGGGTTGTTCCACCATCATTCAGCAGCTAGTGGGTTACTCCACCACCTTGGCAGGACGTTACTTCACCCAAGGGTTGTTCCACCATCGTAAACCCACTGACAGCTCCTGAACATTACACAGTTTAACTCAGGACACGATTACTATTACCATATTATCTCAGTCCATAAATCTTGCCATAGACTTGAACCATAATATTTTTCCCGTAACAACCAATAAAATCCAAAGTCATTTCGAGTTCTGTCACACATTCTCACCTACTTCTCCAAACTTCATGTCAATCCTCGTGAGTTATTACTGGTTGAGTAATAACTTGTACAGTAATAGAAAAAGTAAACACCAATCGGATCACGAGAAATTTTAACCCCCCAAGTTTATTTTACTTGATGATTAAACTAACCTAAACTAACTAGCCTAACCGGATCACCTGAAGTATCTGCCACCACAACTAATTTCACCTAAGGATTAAACACCCTAACACTGTTTGGGGGGGGGGGTGAGGTTAGGATGGGTTAGATTAAGTTAGCGTTAGGGTAGTTAATCTTTAGGTGAAATAAACTGGGGTGCAGATTCTTCAGGTGATTCTTTTAACCCCCCGCCCCCAGGGAGTGTTAGGGTGTGTAATTAAGTGAACTAAGCTTGGGATGCTTAACTCTTCACCTGATCCGACTTCTCAAACGTCAATCATAAAAAAACAAGACAAAATCTGTTACGTCTCAAGACCTGAACTTTACTGAGGCTTGTTTGTCCGACCTGCAGGTGGTCTACTTAGTGTGTGTGTGTGTGTGTGTGTGTGTGTGTGTGCGTATAAAGATTATGGGAAGGACTATTATCATTGTTTACACGTGGATGAGAGGAAATACTTGGCCTCCTTCCACTGCCTGCAAGACCCACAACACAGACAAACGTGAACAGCTATAAGATGAGACACTCGCTAAACTTCACTAATCCCCTCCCTGTTGACGCTGACTTGTGTTCGCCTAGGCCCAAGGACAACGTGAACTACCTAACCCATGGATTACTATGACTTGTTTACATAATACCCAAAAGTTTTCATCTGCGTGAAGGTGTAAATCCAAGGGGAAATGCCTAGTGTAGTATAACCCCACAA